ACGAAACCTCTTTACTGTATGAAAAACCGCTAGTGGCGAACAAGCTCGTTTCCAGAGATTCGTATTCATGCCAATACATCTCAATATATATCAATAATTGGGAATAAAATTGCCATGGGAAAAATAAAATAAAGTAAAAACAGATTACTAAAACCGATTTTATCGTGAGACCGGAAATCGGGTTCACCACGATCACGCTTGTTTGTTCACTCATCCGGCCATCCAGATTACTCACGAAGCGGTTTGTACGGGGGGTGGGCCAGGGAAGCCGATAAGACGGGGAAACGATTGAATGCCTGTGTAGTTAATTACAAACCAATAATGTAGAGCTCGGTCTCCCTGCGGATGACCTTAAACAACTGCTTTATTTCTGCACGTATAACGTTCAGTCCAAGTTTAACGATGAAATCTATCGACAAAAGGATGGCGTAGCCATGGGGTCTCCGCTGGGACCGCTTTTCGTGGATTTATTCATGGGGAAGGTTGAAAATACTCAATTACAATCATCCATTGAAGACTGTGTACTATACACACAGTACGTAGATGATATTTATTGTGTGATCGGTGCAACATCAAATACAACGGAACTATTAAACAGATTCAACAATGCGCACCCCAACATAACATTTACTTTAGAAATGGAGTGTAACAACCAATTTCCGTTTCTAGATGTCTGCATCACCCGTCGATCAGATGGTTTAGCGCAGCGTTCCGTGCATAGAAAGGCAACGCGGAAAGACCAATACACTAATTTCCGAAGCTTTGTGCCACTGAAGATAAAAAGGAACCTGGTTCGCTGTCTAGCGAATAGGGCATGAAAGATCTGCAGTGAGGACACGATAGAAGAAGAGCTCCGTCCTGCAATATCGATTTTGGCACGTAACGGATATCCGGAGCGTTTAGTCAACAAGATGATTCAGTGCACGGAAAACTCTTTATAAAAGACCGAGGTTAGGAAAAAATCCGTGTACATTTCTTTACCGTTCAAAGGGGACACATCAGCCGAGATCATACAAAGATTATCTGACGCAATCGATAAGACTTTCTATGCATTTAAGCTTCGTGTGTTGTTCACGTCCAGACCAATTGTGTTTGCGACTGAAGGACAAAGTTCCAGACTCTGCGGTCTCATTCTGTGTATACTCATTTACTTGTTCCTGTGGAACAACGTACATAGGCCGCACGGTCAGGCGATTGTCCGAA